GCCTTGCCTTCATTGGCTGTTCTATTTGGAGGACCTACATTTTCTGCCATCTCTCTATCTTCAATCTTTGAACTGGTTGTTTTCTCAGCAACATCATTTTCTTGGGTATTGGTCGCGTCTTCACTTTCTACAACATTTTCTGCAGCAACTTCGTTGGAGTTTTCCAAGCTTCCATTCTCATTTTCAGCACTATTATCTTCAGATTCATGCGTCACAGCACTGGAAGCATCGTCTGCCTTGTAATGTTCTTCTCGTGCCTCATGCTCTTTTTCATCATCGTCATCACGCTCCCCCAAAGAGCTATCATTCTCCACCAGGCCACTCTTATCTTCAGAATCTTTCTCTTCGTTTTCCTTCTCATCAACCTCTTCCTTCTTCTCTTCCTCTGTCACATCCTCTGTCACATCCTCTTCGCGATCAACCCCGTCCTCTGGTTTATCATCTCCATGTTCATCTATCTCATCATCTCCAATCCCTCCACCTTCATCTTCTTTCTCCTCAGACTTCTTGTCATCAGCATGTTCTTCTTCATCATTCTTATTTTCCTCCTCTTCTCCAACATTTTCTTCTGCTTCTTCATCTTGTTTTGTACTAGTTGTATCTGTTTCCTCCACTCTGGGATGAAGATCTTTCCTCCCAAGTTTTACAACCTCACTGCTATATTGTGCCTGTTCAGAGTTCTTCACATCAGTTTCATCGAATTCCTTCTTCTTATCATGTGAATGCTTGACTTGGTATATTAACCAAAAACAAACAGCAAGAAGGAAACATATTTGCAAAACATGTTTAACTTTAATTCCTCTAGATCTCTGACTTCTGCTAGGTGACTGCTTGAACATGACTAGCCTCGTAAGAATTTCTTCAGTGCAGCTACTGTCTTCTCGCTCTCCAGGAGGCTAAAGTGAGTGAAGAAACTGCGTCAAGCACAACAGATATTGCACATCAATAAGAGTTTTAGAAAGCAATTAGGTAATTAACACAGAAAGGAGTTATTCATTCTATAACGTTCAAGTGAGAGAGTAGGGTAATTCCACTGATGTCACATAAAATAAATAGCATATAGCACAGCTTTTATACCCGGAGAACAGCGTCAACAATAACAAGCATTTATAGCCTCAATAAGGTCCTCACTATGCAAAATGACTGCAGATACTAATTATAGAAAGAGAGAGAAAAGGGTCTCCAGTTTTGCACATCGTTACAGGAATCTGTAATTTGTCATTATTAAATTAATAAGCTTTGCTGCTAAGGTGAAAAGTGCCTAGCATCACGCCCACCTAATAGTTAGGCCAAGAAATTAGCAACCTTAAGTTGGATATAATTGACTTTTAAGATTGTCAACTGGCACCACCCATGGTTTTGTATTTACCAAGTCTAGCTGCATGAACGCTGTAAATTCCTACTAAGGAGTCATGGTGCAAGAGAAGGGATCAGAAAGGTAGTTTATTTAATTGCATGCCAAACACTACTCGTACCTTTATCAACAATAGAAAGAATGAAAGAGGAAGTGTGGTTGAATTCACACCCAAGTCTACCATGTTGTAACTGAAACCTACATCTATTCACCCTGCCCTTGAAATATATAACAGCAGACAAACTTTACCAGACTCCAGGAAGCAATCAGTTGTATAAAAGCTTGTCTTAGACACTAAGGCGCGATAAACCTAAAGTCACACTATTGAAGAGGGATCCATACCAAGCCCAAATGGCAACAAAACTCTGAAGCAGCCAACTCAAAAAGTTCCCAGCAAAAGATGAATCCCACAATGGTTCAATTCAAACAGACTCCTCAAAGAAATACTTTTAACTCACAATGGAAACTTCCTAATCCTAATAAGCAACCACAAGTCAAAAGCTATAGACAACAGGTAGAAACCAATATCATCACTTGCTAACAATGTTTGAAGGCTGAATAATTGCCAAGTTAAACAAGCTGAAAAAGCTCCTTAACCCGCTAGAGAGTCGAAATAGACAGAGCTATATGGCAGCCTCATCATCAATTCTGACGAGAAAGGACAAGTCAAAACTGCCAGGGGAACTAGTCCCATTTAAGAACAGAAATTGCTAGTAAATCACAAAAAGCAATGGAATTAGAGTTGACAAAATCATCCATGACCAAATTAGTCTTCTTTAAGCCTTATCACTTCTCCTACTCGATCTGAATCATGCTAAAGTGGATAAATTTATAGCAAGCCCACAAGAAACCATCATACCAGACGCAAAAGAACCCCAGAATCTCTCATGCATTTACGAACTCGCACTATTTACAAATCCAAAACTAAATTTTGCACAAAAATCGAATTTTTACCAATTAACAAGCAAAACCCACTTCCAGAAACACTTAATTAACTAGTTACAAGGAACAGATCAATGAACAAATTCTCATACTTCATCATTGCAATTCTGGCCCATCTTAGACATGTAATAACCCCAACTAAAAAGAACAGAAGAAACCAAGCAATATTTAATCTAATAAACCCAATTCTTACACTCAAACAAGCATGAAAATTCCCTAGAACCCAGTTAATAAAAACAACAGATAAACCAAGTACAAAAAGATTTAAAAAAAAAAGAAAAAAAAAAAGGCACAGGTACCCGCAGGAGAGGAGGCAAGAGACTGAATGAGTAGCCCAGAAAGCAAAGAAATTTGGCCTTGGAATCTAAGACCAAGAAAAGAGAAAGTAATAGATTACATAAGACTTATAACTGGTAGAATAGAATTGAATGGGATTTTGAGAAACACTAATTATAGTATAATAAATGAGTCAAAGGACTTAAAACTGCCAAATGGGATTTTTGGGGGATGTTATTTTGATGAAGACAGCTCTCTTCCACTATTCTAATTTCGGACGAATCTAAAAAGAAAACAGGGACAAAGTTTTTTGCAGCCGTTTTGATCTTGTGAATTGTGATTATTGTGCGGCGTGGAGTTACATGGGCACAAGGTTGAATGGGCTTTTGCATATATGGCTACGTTGCTTATTTTGTTTTTGTTTTTTTTCCCCATTTCTACTTAATCTATTACAACTATTTAGTACACATTCGTTTGAATTAGTTATTTTTTGAATATTTTTATTGTAATAATATACTATATGAAAACATTTTACGATAAATATTTTTTGTATTATTTTTTAATGTGCTTTGAAATGTATTTTGAAGTATTTTGAAAGTCTAAAAATTTTAAAGATATTTAAAAAAAAATAAAACTACCACCCACCACCTTCCCCTTCCTCTCCCGCTCCCCCTCCCCCTCCCCCTCTTTTTTCTTCCTTTTTCTTCATCATTTCCTTCCCCTTTCACGCCACACCCCATCCTTCCCTTCCACCTCCTCGATCTAGCCTCGACCAAATCGAGGCCTCTGGTTGCGACCCAGTCGCAGCCGAATTTGGGGGAGGGGGAGGAGGGGAGGGATGGGGTGCATGTGACCAAAAAGGGGAAAGAAAATGAGGGGTGGAGAAAAGAGTGGAAGGAGAAAGAGGGAGAAAAAGTGAGAAGAAGTGGTGGTGGTGGTGGTGGTGGTGGTAATGGTAGATGGAAAAAGAAGATGGCGTAGATTTTATTTTTTTGATTTTTTTTTTGTATGTTTGGAATTAATTTTGGTATATTGCATGAATGTGGTGTTTTTTGAGTTGTTTTTGTTTGTATATTATTGTAGCATTGTAAATGAAAAACTTGTTTTTTTTTTTTTTAAATAGAGAATCCAAACATATATTTTAAGTATTTGTTTATTGAGGAAATCTGGTGTGGTGGATCATGTTTCTTCATCACGAGCACATGTGATCATGTTCGTTGTCCGTGGCGACAAATGGCTTTGCTTAATTATCAGCGGACTATCCTAATTTACTTGATCATGTCACGTGCCAATCGGCACTCTTGCTGTTAACAACCTGTCCCATTCGATTAGTCCGAAGTCGTCTTTATATTTGAAAAATTGCCAATCTTCAATTTTTCAAAAAATTTCATGTTTGATAAAAGTAGCTTCCCTTTCCTGTCAAATAAACCAAAACAATGAAGATGGCAATAGCATAATAGTTCTAGTGCCTGTTCTTGATCTTTCAATGGTTTTAATTTTAAAAGTTGATTATGAGGATGTAATTTTCAGAATTGGAAGCCTGATTTTTAAAAAATTTAAAAGTACTCTGGTATGGGCCTGAACGCCTCTTTAATTTTAGCGCACTTGGGTTGACAGCGTTGTCGTGGGCTGCGGAGAATTACTGAGGACGCAGGTTTAAGCTTGAGATGGGCCTAAGAGTTCGCAAAAAAGCGCTCGGGTCAGGTGTCTTCATTTTCCGCCTTTTTTTTTCCTTGCCAATTAAAAAAAAAAAAAAAGAGAAAAAGAAAAATGACGGAGATTCTCTGCCTCCATGAAGACGGCAACTCTCTATTTTTTGGATTCAAGTCACCTTTAGATGATTCTTCTTTTTTTACCAGTTGACATAGACAAAGATAAGTGCTTCATGTAATCACATCAATCTGAATAGTGCAAGTCAGTCAGTCGGAGGAATTCTTGATAAGCTGCATAATAATTCTTGACAAGTATGCAGACCTGTTTTTATACGTCAAGCTTTTAGGTAGAAAGGCTTAGCGAATGGAATGGTGTATGCCTAAAGCGAGGAATATGTCTATCACGCCTTCTTCATTGCATGGAATAAAACAGCACAGAACGAGATGAGTTTCTCTCTTTGCCTTTTCTGCAAGTAGCTAGGTGGGATTGGGGAAAGTGTGGTCTTGCCGAAACCAGACCAAAACTAAACACATAATTCTTGTATCATAACGTGTCTAGCCGAAGTAATCATGATCATGTACACCTAACTACATTCAAGAAAAACCAGGACCACATAATTAATGAATGATACCACTACATCTAACTACATTCATTTGCTTCCCCCCAAAGATATTCTTGCTTAAGCTAAACTCTTTTGATCTTGTCTTCAGCCAGCAGTCCATGCATGCAATGGCTATATATATATTGCGGAATCCTTCTACCTTCTACTCGTGTACTTATTTTGAAAGGAAAAAGAAATGAATGCTTCTAGGTTCATTTTCTTGATCGGCGTTCTTTCCGTAGAATTGATCCAAATTTCTATTGCTTCCGTGGTTTCTGCAGGAGATTTTAACAGAGACTTTTTCGTGACATGGTCTCCTAGCCACGTTAACACTTCTGCGGATGGCCGAGCAAGAAGTCTGAAACTCGATCCGGAGTCAGGTAATATATAACTTGCAAACATTTTTAGCACATTAATTATTCATGCCAGATAACAGTTATCTAACTTCCTTTTTTTTTTTTTTTTCGTTTTTTCATCAATAAAATGATTGCATTGTATAGGTTCTGCTTTTGCTTCAAACGACATGTTCTTATTCGGTCAGTTCGACATGCAAATTAAATTGATACCGGGGAACTCAGCAGGAGCCGTTGTAGCCTTTTACGTGAGTCAAAATGCATTTTCCTTTCACATGTATTACTGAGGAAATTAAGTGCTTAGTTGTTGTTTTATTTTAATGCAGCTTAGTTCCAATCAACCAAACCGTGATGAACTAGACTTTGAGTTCCTTGGCAACGCGGACGGGGGGCAGCAGCAGCCATACATTCTTCAAACAAATGTATATGTCGATGGCTTTGACGACAGAGAGGAGAGAATAAAGCTGTGGTTTGATCCAACAAAGGACTTCCACACGTATACCATTTTGTGGAATATTCACCAAATTGTGTAAGAGACTACAGCTTTTGTTCCTTGATTGTTGTTCCTAAGATTTCAGCTGCTCTATAATTAATTCGGAGTGAAATTTACCTGGCCAAACCAAACTTTGCTAGTAGCATGCATATGGTATATATTATATTTATAGCAGCCAAATGGGAGAAACAAAAAAGCTTATGACATGCAAAATATTTTGTTTTTGAAATGTGCAGATTCATGGTTGATTGGGTTCCCATCCGGACATTCAGAAACCATGCAGATAAGGGAGTGGCATTTCCCAGGTGGCAGCCTATGGCCCTCCAAGCCAGCATATGGGATGGCAGTAGCTGGGCTACAGGTGGAGGCAAAGACAAGATTGACTGGTCGAGAGGTCCGTTTGTAGCATCATTCCAGAACCACAAGATTGATGCCTGCATCTGGAAAGGCAGTGCAGGATTTTGCACGGCAGAAAGCCCTACAAATTGGTGGAACCAAGGAGGATCCAACTCTCTCACATCGGCCCAGAGAAGGCTATTCAGATGGGTTAGAAAATATTACGTCATATATGACTACTGTCAAGATAGGCCCAGATTTAAGAACAACCTACCTAAGGAATGCTCCCTGCCCAAATATTGACGCAAACGCGTTACTTTTTTTTTTTCTCCCTAAGTTTCTTCTATAATTCTTGTTGCTTTAAGTTTGTTCCACACTTCAGAAAAGTAATGCTTTGTTGGAAATGTGATGATTATCCGTTTGTGAGCCCATTATGTAATGGGCCTCCACACTTCAGTGAAGTACGCATCCATCAGACATCTGAAGCCCACATGGAAGGAGTGGATGGACCCCACACTCTTTGACCAAAAAAAAAGAGAAAAGGATTTAGTAAATAAGGCACATCCATTTCAGTCAGAAGCGAAACTCGGCCATTCCATTTCTTATTCTATTTTCCTTGTTAACTAACCCCATTCTTTCAAACAACTGCTTTAGCGCGGGAACATTTACACAGTGAGAAATAAAGATTAATGAGAGAAAGTCTTCTCCTTTTATTTTATTTTCTCTTTTTTTTCCCTCTTTGATAATCAACTAGAAGTGGAAAATTCCAAGAATAAATAGATTAGCTTTCTTACACAATTCGATTACACGGGATCTTAATTGTATGCATAAATTTATCTTCTGGAACTTCATTGTAATCCGTCAAGATAGGAAAAAAAAAAAAGAAATGCATAAAATGCATATGGATTGAATTTTCACAGCAACAGAAAACATGCATTTTATGACTTAGTATTAAGGCTCCCATGCATGCAATGCACATCATGAAGTTCAAACTAGTAAGGACGTTGGCCTATATAGTTGCCGGGAGGATCGTAGCTGCAAATGACGAACCACCAAGAATTGGTGCACTGAACCCTGGCACACCCGAGGCGGACGGAATCGCGCCACACCACCTGGGTGTAATGCAGGCACTCTCCACCAACGCAGGAGTTGGAAGTGTAGTTATAGTATGGCTTCTCGGCCACCCACAAGTTTGCTGCAGCAGTGCCGGTGAAAGTACCGGTGCCCTTGGCAAGATTTTCACCGTAAGGGCCTTGCGAATGCACGAGATTGCAATCACTAATCCTTTGGTTGGCGTAGTTTTGTGCATATGCAGCAACTGTTGTGTCCCATGTCATCGGCCCGACGCCCACTTGACTGCGGGCGGAGTTGTGGACATTGAGGTAGTCCTGCGGTGAGTTTTGGGCATGGGTGGGGAGAACACGAGCAAGAAATGCTGAGCACAAGAAACAAAGAAGGGATAATGAGATTCTGCACGATTCCATCGTTGATTTGCTTTGATCAATACTGGGACTTGAAATTGATTGGATGTGGGAAGATGAACGTTTAATGGACTTTTTATAGGCGAGTCTAGGCTTATCAACATTCATGAAATTTGTGAATGCCATGTGCAAAAAAGTGCATTCGTTCGCCTCTATAAGCAATCCCCAAGTCACCTGAACGTAGGCATCTATGAACTAAGTGTTAGAATATTTCCAAGTGTGGCACTTTAGGATAAATCGAGAAAACTTGCCTGTTCAATTAATCTACCGAAAGAAGAAACTGCTTGTTGCCTAAGTCATGGATTGGATGGAATGAATGTCGATTTACAATGTAGATGTGTAAAATTAGTTAGTAGTTCAATGCACATTACATATCAATATTGAGTAGCAATGGTATAAATATTTCCATGAAATTTATGGATTTCTTGGAACATATAATTTAGATATTCCACTCCTTTTATGGTGCCCATTTTTTTTTTAAATAAAAAGCTATTCCATTCCTTTAATGGTGCCCAAATTTAAAAAAAAAAAAGAGAAAAAAGCTATATCACACCTTTTATAGTGCCAAAAAAAATACATGGTTTTTTTTTTTGGTCACAAGTCATTCCTAATCAAAAATTGTGGGGGGGGGGGGGGGGGGCGGGGGGAATAAATTTGGATTAGAAGAAGGTTGGTGGAAGAAAGTGGTGAAAATTCATTAGTTCAAGTTGAAATACTTTCATATTTCAAGAATAATATAGATCGCTCATATTGACAAGATGCGTCGTCTTGTGATAAGAAAATTAGCATGCTTTCTCTTTCTGCTTTATGGGAATCTTGTATTTGATTATTTCTCAGTGTGTATTTGTAGGAACTGGAAATGTTACACAATGTTGAATTATGAATTTCCTTATCAAAGCTTGGATGGATGTCATATATGTGTTCTTACGAATTATTGTAAACACTCTCTTGAAGCGATCCTAAAGTTTCATCTTGTCAAAAGTGCGGTTCCATCTCTGAAATAGAGGGTGTGATATTAACCGGGCGAAGTTTCGCAATTTCCCCCTGTTCGCAAGGAAAAGAAAAGAAAGAACAAGTGGAAGTCAATGTATTAAATTGTGAAAATACTGTTAAGGATTGTAATTTGACCGCATTCATTCTTCTTCTGTTTTTTTTTTATTTTTTTTTTATACGATTACAACTAACTCACAGTGGTAGAATCAATACAAATTGACTTACAATTCAATTCTAATGTCTCAATCTTGACCATAATCGTAAGACCAAATCCTCATCCTTGTATTCATTTTGCTTAGCCTGCTGCAATGTTTGATGAATAACTGGTCTTGATCAGCCAGCCAGGCCTCTATAATTATTAGGCTTCCACACTAACTTATGAACAACAAATCTTGATCCTTGCGTTATTTATTTCTGATGATTTACTGAAACTACGTAGTCCAAAGCTCGATGAAGAAAAGTTCTAGTAAGGACGTTCTCCTACATAGTTGCCAGTAGGATCGTAGTTGCAGATGACGAACCACCATAATTTGTTGAGGCATTGAACCCGAGCACACCCTAGTCGGACCGAATCCCTCCACACCACCTGCGTGTAATGCAAACACTCTCGTCCTCCCACGCACGCGTCCTGGTGATAATCGTAGTAAGGCTTCTCCGCAACCCACAAGCTGGCTGCTTCAGCACCGCTGAAGTTTCTATATCCCTTTGCAAGATTCTCTCCATAGTCCGTGTTCGAATGTATTAGATTGCAGTCACCTTTTCTTTGATTGGCATAATTTAGGGCGTATGCAGCAACTGTGCTGTCCCAGAGCATTGGCCCGACTCCCACATTACTGCGGGCGGCGTTGTGAACGTCAAGGTAGTCCTGTGGTGAGTTTTGGCCATGGGAGGGAAGAATAACAAGAAAAGCAGAGCTCAAGAAACAAAGAAGAGATAGCGAGATTGATAATATGTTAGCTGTCATGGCGGCTTTCAGATGGATGGTCTATGAAAACAGATGGATTTAGATTGTTTGGGCAATTTTTTTGGTGGGGGGCGGGGTTTTTTATGGGCAAGGGATTGCATATCAGTGTCTAGAGATTACTTGATTGCCATGTGCAAGAAGAGGAGTAGCATAGATTTTGCCACATTGTAAGCAACTAATTTGCAAGTAATCCTAAAGTCACCCGTACCTCCCCTTTGGACAGAAATTAGCACCGGCCGTATTGTTGCAGGCAATTTTGAACAGTGTTTAAATAATTGACAGCGGCACTTTTATATCAATTGGCATATATAGAAGACTTGCATATTAACCCTAGCTGCCAAAAACAAGAAATCACGTGCTGCTTAAGTCAAGGATTTACTGCATACATGACTACCCAGTCGGATGCACTTTTCCTTGTAGTAAGATTGGGCACAAGAAACCCTTTTCCTTGCAGCTTCCCAGCTCTTCCAGGCCAGTGTTTTGAACTGAACATTCTACAGCACATCTAGAACTGGTGTGATTGGTTTAGTTATAGTATATGTTTCCCTAATCCCTACCATTAATTCTTTTCTATTTGGTTAAAGTTGCAAATATTAACACGCCTTTATAATATTCAGAAAAGACCACATTCAAGGAGATAAATAGTAAATTTGGCATAACACCCACCAAAATATCGTACAAACAAATCACTAGGAATTGGGTCTGAATTTCAAGACCTAATTTAATTAACGCTTTATGCTTTCAACATGGTTAAGCAAAATTTGTGCAAAGAGTATGCAAAAGACTTCACCAATTAGAGGGAAAAAATTGCATTCCAAATTAAATCAATTAGCTCAAATAATTTCAAACGGAGTTAATTAGTCACTTATTTTATTAAATATGATAATTGACACAATTCACTCATTAGAGGAAAGAAATTACATTTGATCAGGTTCAAAAAATATTAGGCAGCTAAATGGTATTATAATTTATATATGGATTAATTACATTTACCTCCCTTGAGGTTTAGCCAAATTACGAATCAAACCTTAAAATTTGGCCAAATAACAAAACAACCCTTGAAAACCATAAAGTAACAAAAGATTCCCTCTCGTTAGTCAACAAATGTTGACTACTTCATTCCAACACTGTCAACAGAAAACAAGAACCTAAATGCCCAGTATACCCTTTACCTCCAACCTTTCTTCCAATCTTCTTCTTCCTTCTCCAAAGCAAAACACTTGCAACACAACCGACTCTATTTTTGCTGCCATCAACAACTATCATGTTCTTTGTTTTCACATTCAACCCCCAATTTACTACAATTCTATAAGAATTTTCCAGACTCGTTTGTATTTTACTACCCATCAACAAATTACTTCCAATTTCCATACAAGCTCAAAGTCAACGTATAGCCTTAGATTCCAAAATACAGGGAAAAAATAAAAATTCAAACGAGCTAAATCTTGCTACAAACTTTGCTAAATCTAAATTGTGAGCATCAGTGTGATTAACCCAATCATAGCATGTCAAATCCGTAGAATTTCAATAACCAGTGTGTGAATATGTGCTCGTTTGTCAATGGGTTTGATAAGGCATGGATTTGTTTTCGGTTTCTCTCATGCGTTGGTTGGGCTTGTGACTCCATAGGAAGAGTGAGTGTTAGTTAAACAAAGAAATAACATTAGAGCTTGGAGAAAAGATGAGGGATGTGGTGGTGCATTAAGGGTCCGTTTGTTTCAGCATAAAATATTTTTCATGAGAAAATATTTTCAATGAAAGACATTTTCCATGAAACTATTTTGATGTTTCATGATTTTCTGATGTTTGGTTAATTTTTAAAATATCATTTGACAGAATATCTACAAGTACTCTAACTTGTTTATTATTTTTAAAGACATAAACTGATTCTTTCCCAAACTAGAAAGCAAGGTCCCATAGGAATATGTAGTAATGACACGAAATCGATAGTTTGGGATGTTAAATTCATAACTCATGGTAAGTGGGGAAAATAACTTTATAAGATCTATTGCGTAAGT